TTTTTTTTTTTTCTGTCTTTTTGGGACAGGGTCTCCCTATGCCACTCAGGTTGGCCTTAAGTTCACTTGGTAGCCCAGATTGGTCTCAAACTCACGGCCATCCTCCTGTCTCAGCCTCCTGAGGACTGGGATCACAGGCGTGCACCACCATGCCCAGCTAAAAATGCCTGTTTGACCTCGTTCTCCAAGTGAATAATTTGTCCTCCAAGTGAATCATTTGTCGCTTGATCTTCTGTCTTCAACCCTCTCCTGCCAGAGTTCACCAGCCCCCTGCTGAATGGTACAGGCACCCTAACGCTGGTGAAGAGACAAGTTCCGCTGAACTGTGTTCTGTATCGATATGGTTCCTTTTCCCTCAGCCTGGACATTATCCGTGAGTTTTGGCTACCTTGGAGGCTGGTGAAGGGAGGCATGCGCTGGACAAGAGGAATTCCCAAGTGGCAGGATCTCTTCTGAGGGAAAGGGATGGGACTGGGGGCAGCCCTAGGGCTTTCTTGTCTCCTAGCCTGATGAATGAAGCCTGACTTACAATCTTGCAATTTTGTAGAGGGTATTGAGAATGCAGAGATCTTGCAGGCTGTGCCATCCAGCGAGGGTGATGCATTTGAGCTGACTGTGGCCTGCCAAGGCGGGTGAGTGTCCCTCTGGTTGCCCTGATAACCTTTAGGTGACCATGGCTTTCGTGGATCCCCTGACCAAAGATGATACCTCTTCCAGGCTGCCTGAGGAAGCCTGTATGGACATTTCATCACCTGGGTGCCAGCCTCCTACCCAGCGCCTGTGCCAACCTGTGCCACCAAGCCCAGCCTGCCAGCTGGTTCTGCACCAGGTATTAAAGGGTGGCTCAGGGACCTACTGCCTCAATGTGTCTTTGGCTGATGCCAACAGCCTGGCAGTTGCCAGCACCCAGCTTGTCATACCTGGTAAGTAACTGGACAGTTGGTAGGATGAAGAGCCAGCAGAGAAGGAGAAGACAGTAAAGCAATGTCTGGGCTTCTGCTCACAGGTCAAGAAGCAGGCCTTGGCCAGGCTCCCTTACTTGTGGGCATCTTGCTGGTGGTGGTTGCCATGGCACTTGTATCTCTGATATACAGGTAAGGCCCTCACTGTCCAGCCCAGACTTTCAGTCCCTTTTACCACTGCTCAGGTTAGCTGAGAAGAAAGGAAACTACCACTCCTTCCAAGGAAGCAGAATACCAGGGACGAGCCCAGTCTTGGAAGTTAGGCTTGGACTAACATCTTCTGAGTGATCCTGGGGAAGTAGCTTAAAATTTCTGAGCTATGGAAAATAGGATGATGAATACCTGCCACTTGTAATATGTTCCAATGTAGGTAAGCTAATCGGCGTGGAGCAAGCGTGCGAGGGTAGATGCCATTATCACTTGTCAGGAGTTGGAGTGGCACAGCTGGGGCAAGCTGCTGAATTACACCTGTAGGAAGGCTGCTGAGGGTCTCAAAGCAGGGAAGCCTATGCAGGAAGAGGGAATGAGCTCAGGTTACAAGGGGAAGAAGTGGGGGAACCCTCAAGGTGATGAGAAGGGGGAGCTGGGATCAAGGCCTAGTAGGCCCAGGATGTGGGAGTATCCCTTTGGAGAAGCACAGATAGGCTGTTTTTGTCCACTGCTAACCAGTTTCCCCCTTCTCCCAATATCAGGCGCAGATTGATGAAGCAGGGCTCAGCCCTCCCCATCTCCCAGATGCCACTTGGTAGCACCGCGTGGCTGCGGCTGCCCCAGATCTTTCGCACTTGCCCCACTGGGGAGAACAGTCCACTCCTCAGTAGGCCACAGGTCTGAGTATCTCATCCAATGCTGTGATTCCCCGGGTTGACAGCGATGCCTGTTTTCTACAGTCTTTCCTTGGAGACTACCATGACCTAAAATAAATGATCAGAACCTGGAGTTGCTTTTTTTTGAGACACTGTCTCATTTTGTAGTAAAACAGGGCAGGGCTGGCTGATATGTGGTGCTGGGGGATTGAACCGCGGTCCCTGTGCTTTGCTTTGGTGCTTTAGACACTGAGCCATCCCACCAGCCTGCATGCAGATGTTTTTTCTTGCTTCTTTTTTTTCTTTTCTTTTTTTGCAGAACCGGGGATTGAACTCAGGTACTTGTGCTTGCCAGGGAAGTGCTTATTCCACTGAGCCATCTCCCCAGCCCCTCTTGCTTGTTGAAGAACTATCTTTTAAGGAGTGAAGGTGAGGGCTGGTGAGATGGCTCAGTGGTCTAAAGCACCTACCTAGAACAAGCTTAAGCTAAAGCACAGAGACCGCGGTTCAATTCCCCAGGACCACATTCCAGCCAGCCCCGCCCCCTGGTGGGCTGAGCTGGCCACACACACACACACACACACACACACACACACACATAAATAAATAAAAATTTAAAAAATAAATAAATAAAAATATAAAAAAAAAAAGGAGTGAAGGTGAAAAAAGAGGCATATCACTTATACATATCCCAAGGAAAAAAAGTCATTTTATTTAAATGAGGCACTTTGAACACGTGTGTGTGTGTGTGTGTGTGTGTGTGTGTGGCATGTATGTGCATGTGTACATGGGGAGTAGGGAGGTGGTGCAAGATAATAAATACTGTGAGGATGTAGGACCACTCCCCTGAACTGGCAGGAAGGGGTGGCGGCAACAGAGAGCCTAGGAGTGGAGTCCAGGGATGAGCAGGTGGGCTCAAGGCTGGCTTGCAGGCTGAAGATGTCTTCCTCAGCCCAAGAAGCCAAAGAAATTGGAAGAGCGGGGAGGTGGGCCCATGAGCATGGGCATCTGGTTCTTGTGGGTGATCTTGATCTGGAATGGAAGGGAACACATTCAGAGGCAGAACCCAGTGCCCAGGGCCGGGGCATGGGGGGGGGGGGAATGTGGGCTTTTGGGGTTGGTTGCTGGGGTCCTACAGAGGGCATTATTAGGAGGCCAGAAGCTGAGAAATGAAGGACTGGTAGGAGTGCTACACAGGGACACTTAGGCTATCAGAACGAGGTCGGGAAACTGGCCATTCATTTAGGATCCGTAGAACCTGAGTTTAGCCTTTAGTAGGCACATGTGATACTCACTGTGCAGGGTGACTGCATCCAGGGTTCCCCGTCAATTTGCATGGGGAGGGTTTTTGTGGTGCTATGGGAGGGCAAGGAAGATTAAAGAAGATTGGCAATGTTCTTGTCAGTTAAAATCCCAGGGCAGGGGAGATAGCTCTGCAGCATAAGGGCCTGCCTGGCAAGCACAAGGTCCTGAGTTGAATCCCAGGTACCACAATTATAATGTAAAACAAAATAAAATACCAGAACTCTGCTTCTCAAGTTTGTTGGTTGGTTTTGAGACAAGGTCTCACTATGTAGTTCAGGCTGGCCTTGAACTCAGTTTGTCATCCAGGGTGGCCTCAAACTCGTGTTCCTCCTCCTCACTTTTGCAAGTGCCAGGATTATAAGCATGTGCCACCACGCCCACCTCAGTTTGGTTCTGAGGCCCCTTGTCCCTGAGGAAGATCTCCCAGTGGGGCCCTTCTTTACCATCCCACAACCTTCCTCTTCTGGCCCCTCCATCCCGTAAGACCCTGGGCTGCCGTTGTCCTTACTGGATGGTGATCTCGGAGCACTTGGCCAGCCGATGTCCAGCACTCTTGAGCTTAGTATAGATCTGGCCCATCTCAATTGCACCCTCCAACCCTACTACTTCCAGTCGCTTGTCACTTAGGTCTGGGGAGAGAAACAGGAATACAAGTTTTGCAGAAGCAGGGTTCTCTCAGAGGGAGCCACACTTTCCCCGTAGCCTTGCCCACTCCCAAGGGTGGGCCTCTCACCTGGCACACAAGTTTTCAGGATGTCAGGGTCAGTGATGACTTTAGCTGTAGAGCCTAAGGCCTGGTTGATCCCACAGATATCCCCATGGGGCCTTTTGGTATCACCCCAGAGGTTGGAGCCACCATGCATGCTAGGGATGTTCAGCACTGCGATGCCTTCTAGGGACAGGTTACTCAGATCCAGCGGTTTCCCACAGATCTGAGGGGACGGGGGCACAGGCCCAGTTGGGGAGAGCATGGATTCTCACCTCATGGCATAATCATGGATGTGACTGATCCCTCTATCAGGTGACAAAACTGGGAAGGCCAGCATTTGGAGGTTTGCAAGAAAAGGAAGGAAAAAGGGACTAGTGTATCTTGAGGACTTAGGAAGACAGGATTGGAAAGCTGGGAAGGCAAAGAAATATTGGCTCAGAAATATGGAAAGTTTCCAAAGATGTCTGTGAAGGGAGTACCTTGGATATAAGAAACTACAAAGGATGTAGGGTCGGGTGTCATTACACGCACCTCAACTGTCACAGACTCTTCTAGCTTTTTGCATGTTGAGAAGATGGATTCAGATGTGGCGAATTCAAAGTACCAGAGCTTGTTCTTCATCCTGTGTTAGCCCCATGGCAGGGCCCAATACAGAGGGACAAGTCACACAATGCTGAGGGGCTAATAAGTGACATCCATGTCCCAACTCGAAGGATAATAAGGGTGCTATGGCTTCCTAGATGTGTCACTGCCCATTTTAAGCATTCTGAGTGATATTTAGTCACAAATCTGGTCCCTGGCACTATGTATGCCCATTCCTTCACCTGCTGTTGAACTTCTCAGGATATTTCTCTCGCATGATGTGGAATCGGTGTGCAATGGAGGCATCCTAGAGAGGTAAGGGCATGTGGTATTAGAGGCCAGCCTTCCCTATCCATAGCACTGTCCCCCCTCACCCTGCCCCAATCTGGATGCAGCAAGTCCTGAGTCCCTTTTTGCAACTCACACCACTGTACAACTCTCCATTTCCCCACACCACTGTTCTCTTACCCTCTGTTTTCCCTCTCTGTCCTTTTAGCTAGGCGTAACCCTTACTCCCTCCCTCCCTGCTGCGTCCAGGTCCACTGACCACGCCGATGGAGAAGTAGTTATTGATGATTTGAAAAGGGACTGGATCACTCTTTTCTTCACTCTGTTGTGGTATCACTTCCAGGGACCATCGATCTATGTGTACCACCTTACTCATCTCTAAATCCTTGAGAATCTTTGCAAGATTCTGTCCTTCATACCCTAGAGGGGGAAGAGAAGATAGGATACATTAGTACAGAGCCCTGAGTCTCAGAGAGCTTTCTTTTCAGCCTCAGTGCCACAAGTCCCCGAGGATCCCCCGCTGTGGATCTGCACAAGCTCTCAGCCCTTACCAGAGAGTGGAAGGGCAGGGCGGCAGGCTCCCATGGGCCCATGGTAAAGGTCAGCCTCTGGCTAACTTTCCTCACACTATTGTAGAAGATGAATACTTCCAATGTGTGTGCACATCTACAAATGACTCTACAGCTCATTGAGAAGACTGAAAAAAATAGCCAAGAAAATGCTGAAAGAAGACAATGAGAAATGGGGAGAATCTCACCCCGTGTGCATTCTTGTCCCATTCCAACAGATAACACAAAGTGACAGTGGCACAGTGAATATACAAATTTAATAATGAAAGAGTGCCCCAAGCAGACTTTAGTATATATGTGAATTTACTATATGATAACATTTCAAGTAAACTGGAAAAAGATTAGTCAATAAATAGTGCTAGATACAGAAGTTACTTTTTTTTTTTTATCTTAGGGAAGGGTCTACAGAGTGTTCAGGGTCTCACTACTAGATCAGATTCATAGTGCTCCACCTGTTTACAGCCTCCCAAGAGCTGGGATTACAGGTGCAGGCCACCATGTCCAGTCTCAACTGCCATCTCAGCGTGCCCTGGGGACAGGGTCAGCACTGCAGGTCTGGGGTTTGAACCCCTGGCCCCTGCATGTTGTCAGTTTTGGTTGTTGTTTGTTTCTTATTTTCAGTTTTGCTCCTTTTCAAGACAGGGTCTCTCTATGTAGCCCTGGCTGGCCTCAAACTTGGAATAATCCTCTTACCTCAGCCTCCAGAGTGCTGGGATTACAGCTGTATGCCACCATGCTGACTTTATTTTTTATTTTTATAGTACTGGAAAATGAACATTGGACTTAGCGCTGAGCTACATCCCAAACTTTTTTATTTTTCATTTTATTATCACTGAATGTATTTTTGTGTGTGGTACTAGGGATCAAAGCCAGGGAGCACTGAACTACATTTCTAATCCTCCAAACCCTCTATTTTACTGAGGTTTTTAAAAAATTTTCTATATATAGGGCCAGGGAGATAGCTCAGTAAAATGAACAATGGCCTGGCAAGCAAAAGGTCCTGAGTTCAATCCCCAGTACCACAATTAAAAAAAAAAAAAACTATCTATCTATATACATATATTTTTTCCTTTTTTAAATGTATTCTGTACAGGGTCTACAGGGTCTCACTACACAGATCAGACTCATAGTGATCCTCCTGTTTTCAGCTTTTTTCTTAATTTTTAAAAATCATGGGCCAGGGAGATAGCTCAGTGGTCTAAGCACATGCCTGGCAAGTGCAAGTACCCAGGCTCAATCCCTGGTACCATATGCTCTGCAGTCCCAGAACCCTGGCTGTGGTGACGCATGCCTGTAATCCCAGCACTAGGGAGACTAAGGCAGGAAGATCACTACAAGTTTGAGCTGTGTAGTGAGGTCCTATACCAAATAAATAAATGAGAATTTTTTAAAAAATTTACAAAAATTTTTTAAAAATCATTTATTTATTTGTTTGGTACAGGGTCTTGCTATGGACTCATAGTGGCAGCTTAGACTTGTACTGATCATCCTGTCTCAGCCTCTCCAGCACTGGGATTATAGGAATGCACCAACAAACCCAGTTTTAAGGGCCAGTATGTTACACCCAGGGGGCTA